CTTTGTATTTAAAAAGAATTCATAAAAACAATAACACACATATTATTATAATTTATATATTCATACACCTTCACCTAAGTGCAAAAAAAAAAATCGTTTCCTAATTTCACAAAAACTTTTAATTCCCGGAGAAATAACGCTTAGCACGACTTGTTTTCCCGTTGACTGTTTCAAAAATAATTTTCTTACATCTCAAATAATTTCTTATTACATACCTGTCGTTGACTTGTCAATAAGAAACAAACAATGTTGTTCATCAAATTCGAAGCTTGACCAAAATTAAAAAAACCAACTCCGAGATTCAAGCTACTCCAAATCATCAAAAAACATGAGCGACGACGGAGACAAGTCTACTCCGGCGCCGGCGAAACTCGGCGACGAGCAATTAGCAGAGCTCCGTGAGATTTTCCGATCATTTGACCAGAACAAAGACGGAAGTTTAACGGAGCTCGAATTAGCCTCACTTCTAAGATCTCTCGGTTTAAAACCGAGTCAAGACCAACTCGATACTCTGATCCAAAAAGCAGATCGGAATAGCAACGGATTGATCGAGTTCTCCGAATTCGTGGCTCTGGTCGAGCCAGATCTAGTCAAGTGTCCTTACACAGACGAACAGCTTAAAGCGATTTTCAAAATGTTCGATCGTGACGGTAACGGTTACATAACGGCGGCGGAATTAGCTCATTCGATGGCGAAATTAGGTCATGCTTTGACGGCGGAGGAATTAACGGGGATGATTAAAGAAGCAGATCGTGACGGTGATGGTTGTATCGATTTCGATGAGTTTGTTCAAGCGATTACTTCTGCTGCCTTTGATAATGCTTGGGGATGATGATGAAGAAAGAAAGGTATATAGTTTGAAAATTTTCTGCTTCTGTGATTTCTCAAATCGAATATATTTGGAAGTATGTGTGTGTAGGCGTGATTTTCATGGAAATATATTGTGTTATATTACTGTTTTTCATGTGTTTTTGATGAAAATTTGGTAGCTTGAAGAGAAAGCTATCTTTTGTTGGTTTTCGATCATTAGGGCAAAACTTTAATGCGTGAGTCTGAATCAATCATGAAACCAAACGCATCAAAACTGACTCTTTTTATCTTCTAATGTTTGGGATAAACAACAAATATTGTCATATGATCATCTTCTTCTAAGTGAATTGTACAAAATCATGTAAAATTCGGGTAATTAACTCGAAAATATTCCCCGCGAATGGTTACAAGAAGCAGAGAATCAGATGTCATCGGGCGATGGCGAAAAACTTGGAGCCAGTTAACATGCTGTCCCTTCTGCTAGAGTGTGGTAATATCGAATTCAAGAGTTGTTACATAAGCTTTAGTCCACCTGTTACATCGTCAACAAGATCCACGGGTCCTGTACAAGTAACAGCTTTATTAAACTAGTGCACTTGTATCTAAAGTATATGATTTTAGTGTTGTTGAACACATTAAGGATCATAGATCATTGATGATAAAAACTTACCAAGAATAGCCATTACTGTCCTTGAATCTGGGAAAAAAATAACATAACAAGTACATTAGCTTCCAAACTATGGTTAAGTAGAATTCCAAGTTTGAGAGAGGCTTAAATTCGAATTCCAAATGACAGTAACTATGAAACTCACTTGGAGCGATCTGTGTTTTTCCGGCATCAATGGTGATATGCGTTGGCAGTTTAAGGGACTCTGCTTTTTCCTGTCGGTATCAACAACATTGTTAGAATCATCTAAAAAGTCAACATATGATCTTAGGAGTTTTTCTTCTAATTTGTAACTTCACAATGTGCACAAGAAGATTATCTTCTGCAGTAACACATGTTTAGTAAACTCACTTGCAAAACTAGCATCTCTTCCTCACTCTCGATTTTGACCACGACTTTTGGCTGAGCACAGTATTCCCATCTGCAATAACAATCAAATTTTTTGGTATGATAGAGCCAAACGGAACCTTTAATTCTGTCCATAGCCTGTAAAAAAAAAGGATTTGTGGTAGACTATGACATGGTGTGATAGATAGTACCTGTTCAAGGCTTTTGGCGCCCGTTGAACGAGTTTTTTGTATAACCCTAAAGTTGCATGACTACATAATGCAACCCAAAAATTGAATTCATTAATGGAATTTACCAAATGCTTTAGATGACTGAAACACTAAGAGAAAAGAAAATCGTTAAGAAGTAGACAATCACCCGCATTGAGCTGCAATCTTCCCTTTACCCATTTTAAGATCATTCCTAACCACCAAAATCTACACAAGCAACAAAAAAAAAACAAATTCATATCAACTTATTGTGTCTCAGAACACTCCCAGAGAGAACTAGTCAAAGAGTAAGCCTAGAAACCATTTTGAATTTTTGGCGGAAATCGGTGAATTTCTCAATCTCGAGGGGTTCCTTGGACTTCATCTTCTTATTTGAACTGGAAGCAGCGTTTATGGCGACAGATTTGGAGGAGACAAAAATGCGGCGAGATTGTCGTAGAGTACTGATGTAATATCCAAGTGCAGCTCCAAGAAGTAAGGCAATTAACCACATCAAATCCATCATCCTTCAATATAAAAAAAAAGCAGACTTTCATTAACTAGACTACAACAAAACATTAATCAATGTGGAAAACAAACAACTAAAACACATTGATTACTAGAGAAACACACTACTACCAAATTTTGGGAATAATCTTATATAATGAATAAGAAAGTTTAAGTAGCCTCTAAAACATATGCATTAAAGCAAGACAATTTGCCAATATAGAAACTAAGGAAACAATAACATCTTTTCATCAAAGCTGTGTCGGAACCATTGATCGATAAAGCTACTTCCTTTGAACAGAAACATTAGAGGAGAATTTCAACGAAACATGAGACCAAACTAGGTTTTTTCAATTCTGGGCTTCAGAGTAATCGAATTTACGTTGTAAATCAGATTAATTACAGAGAATTTAAATTACCTTAATCTTCACGACGGTGGTGGTGGATTTGTACGGCGGCTGAGCAAGTAGAACAGTCTTCTTCTCTCAAGTCTTAACAATTTAAGGCGAAAAGTCTTGTGTTTGGAAACGAGGATATCTCTGTTCTTATCATGAATTTATTTGCCTTTTTTTTTGTTCAAAGAATTAAATTGCCTTTCCAATTTCCA